TAATGGAAACAACTTGACCAAAAATCTGTCACAGAATTTTGAGACACATTAAAACAAAGTTTAATGAGAAAAAAAAGAGAGGTACATGTCAAGCCAGCATGAGAAAACCAGTCAAATAATAGTTATCTTAAAAACTGACGTGATGTGTGTTATATGTGTCACCATACTTAGAGATGCTCAGTCACCAAACAGTTGAAACAATGTCACACTAAAATTAGAGGCTAGACATTATGAACTAAGATACATTTATAGGCCAATATGTATGTTCTCTTTAGATGGCATCCTACTAAAGGATAACAAATAAGAGTTTTCTTTATGTCATTTAATGTCTTGTGATCAGATGAAGGTGTTTGACTGAAAGACTATTCCATACTAAGATAGACATGTCAGTGTTACAAAAAAGATATCATGACTGTCATGCTAAAATACAACCTGTGGCTCCTGATCTTAAGTTTTTCTATACAATATATAATTGTTGTCTGTTAACATTTTACCAACCACGGTTGGTAAAATAACAGCCCTCTAACTGTGCTTTATACTTCAAAAGTGCTTAATGTTTTAACTATTGTAATAGTTAAGCTCACTGCTCCTACTGAAATACTTACGTCACTGATCTTCTCTTCTGGGGGTTCAACAACTAAAGTTTGGAGACCAAAACTAGAAAGGTAACTGGGCTAAGAGGACAACCAGTATTTTGACCCTGGGCCCTCAAGGTCAACAAAGAATCCAGGACATGAAGGAACGTTTCCTACAGGATCCTAGACTGGTAAGTCAATTAACCTCCTGGGCAGGGAGATTGCTGGGCACCAGAGGACAAATGTACCATGTGCCAAAGGCAGGTCACAAAGAGGGAAAAATCTCCCATGCTTTCACTGAAAGCAACGTGGTTGAGCAAGGCCATGACCCATCCTGATGGCTGACACTGACAGAGGAGCTGAGAGACTCTATGCATGGTTTCAAAGTAATGCCTGAGGAGACTTAACTGACCTTGATAGATAGCAAGAGGTTCATACTGATTGACACAGGTCTCACTTTAACTTGGTCTTAAACACCCAGCAGAAAAGAATAACCAAAAGAGGTATAAATAATGCCATAGTAATAAAGCTAGATATAAAAGGGGGCTCCAGTCATTGACCCCTTCTGGCCGTTTCTAGCTACAGCAGTAGCTGACCACGGTTATGGATCATTAGGGAAAAACTATGGTAAAATCTATAAGGGCTCAGCTAGAGTTTTAAATTTCTTAAGCAATATTTGTTCTTCAAATTGTCTCTTATCTTCTTACAGCTAAAACTAGAGACATTTATAACAAAGTATCAGACTTATACATAAACTTTATCAATGAAAGATTCTAAGAGCCAGCAGGTTACAATCACTATTTCAATTTCTAAGTGCCAACTTTCTCCCCAACCTGCCCTTCCATTCTAGTGTGCTCAAGCTTAGATTATACATGCTCTAATTTCTTAAAAGTTTTATTTATTCTTGCCTAGAGGCTGCCAAACTCCAAGCAGTCATACAAATGGAACCAATGACAAATGTGCTAGACTTCTTTTACTGGGACTCACCACACTGACCTTGTAAACATCTCATAACTGCTTAAACTATACAATATAACTTCTATGTTGGATTCTGAAGTCCCCTGGACTTTCTCCTTACCCTCTTTGTGGGAGGTTATTGCTAGTTCCTCTGGGTAGAAACCCTTATTGTCTATATTCATAGCAATCCTGCTGACCTTATAATTTGGCCCATGTATTAAGTGTTTCCTTGGCTTTGTCTCCTCCAGAATCAAAGATATATGGCTACCAAGATGACAATGCCTGGCACCTATCTAGGGGGTTTAGATAGACTCTCTGTAGAGTAACTCTAACTGCTGATCACAACTACGACCCTCTTCAGCTGGAAGTGGCCAGAAAGGTCTTCGCCCTTTGCCCCCTCAGAGCAGTTAGGGGTACTTCTTCAGAGGGGGCAATATTGCAGATAGGTAAGTTAATTAGATATCTCATGTGCAGTTGGACAGGACCAGCCTTCCAGGAGCCAACACAGCAAGGAGCCAACATGGAGGACAATCAAGACACATTCACTGAAGGCCAGAATTGTAAAAGGAGAGAAACTACACACCTCTGTGCTTCCCCTGGGAATAAATAGCAGTGATTGATGTTCTAAAAAGGTATCATTCACATGGGTGGGGGGTCAAGGTCTTAACCCAGCCTCTCCAGGAAATATCCCTGACTCCCACCCTTACTGAAAATCCTTGTATGCTTGCTATGTGACTTGCTCCCCCATTTGACCCCCATTTAATCAACATTACCTTGGTCACTGTACTTGTAATCTTATTGGTTGGTCATGGTTTTGTCCCATCTCATGCCCACCTTATAAATTTCCACTGGGTCTTACAGTTTTGTCCCACTTTGTACCCACATCACCACATGGCTTTGCTGTATAAAACATCTTTGAAAAGTGGGGTGAGTGGGCAACCCACTTCCCAGTCCCCCTTCTGTCTCTCTTAGGCAGAAGCTTTCTTTGTCCCAATAAATTTCTCCTATTCTTAAAAAAAAAAAAAAAAGAGGGGCTGGTGATTTAGCTCAGTGGTTTTGCCACCTGCTGCACAACCACAAGGACCTAAGTTGGATGCCCGGTACCAAAAAAAAAAAAGAAAGAAAGAAAGAAAGAAAACCAAGTTATTACCTGAGATTTTACAAAACTTCAAACATTTGTCTTGTTCCAAAGACACAGTATACAAGGTTTCATGAAGCTTAATAAAAATAATAGCCTAAAATGTCTTTTTGTTGTTGTTAAACATCTTTTAAATTTTTTAATAGTACTTTGGAATATGTACCAACTAACAGCGAAATGGCACTGATTCTCTGTCAAGAGCAAGCTTAGATAAGGGCTCAGGACAAGTGAGAGGAAGATGTTTTACGTGATCTCAATTCCCTCACATATGAAGGGTTGGACTTTCTAGTTGTGTGTGACTTCTTTTTTCTGGTGAGTTCCCATCTTAGGAATACATTCTAATTGAATTCCTCAACTATTAGGTATGTACACACTTTCTTCTTACAAGTGGAAAATGCCTGCAGAATACAAACACTAAGAGCAAGATAACAGCAGACAAATGGTTGAGGATGTTTACTTGGTATCCAGTGGAAACAATATTAACACAGCCATAAGATGCTACAGCAATATAAATTTTTAACATAAGTGATGTTTTTTGTTTTGAAGCAAAACATTTATTAGTACATTTTAGAGATATGTATGATAACACTCATCAAAAGGAATTTGTACCTGTGCATGATATATATCTTGCTGCTTTTTTTCCCATTCCCTCCCTCCCTTCGACCCCTCTTCCCCTCCTTATTTATAAAATACAGCAATATAAATTACTAATAATAAATGGGGGCTCTCAAAATGATCAAGGTAAGGTTAATAATATAAACTCTAAACTGAAGAGAGGTCTCTTACTTAAGAGTTTTAAAGAATAGATTTAAAACCCGAGACAACTTGAAAATTTCCTGACTTAAGTAATTGTAACCTAGTTACCTTTGGGACAGTGAGCTCTGCTATGCTCACTATTTTCACTGCTCAATGCAGAACCAAATACTGTTCTTAAGCAGCTCTGGAGACTGAAGAGTTCCCTTAGAATCACTGTTACTTTTCAAATGGTAGGTGCTAACACTGGCTTTCTCACACTACTGCTAAAATAAGCCATGACAGAATTCAAGACAGAACCTCTTCAGGAAGGGGAGGGGAAGGGGAAAAGAGATGTGTTATGTCTGTGCACCAACTCTCCACCATGGATGTAATCCCTGTGTACTGCAAACATGCACTGATAAAAATTGTTTTAAAAATGCTTAAGACCAGAATAACCTCTTCAGTGTGCATGCTTTCTACTGTTAGTAGGAATCCAGCTGTAAGACACTGTCCTACTGGAGGATCAAAGGGCCAAAAGGGTACAGGGAAGCATTCTCTAAGAGGACCGGCCCCTACCTCCTGCTGCAGCTCCAGCTTCCTGGGCACAAGTAACTGGAGAACCACAATCAGAACCATATTGGCTGGTTACAGTCATCACAGAGATGGCCCAGGGAAGCATCAGAAACATCTCGAAAGGAGGAGAGGTCAGTGAAACGCATGAAACTATGTTGGAAAACAAAATTATATAATGCAGGCTCCAGTGCACTAACAGGATATATTTTCCAAGGAGACCCCAACTTTGCAGAATTCTGCCCTACACCACTAGCAGATGCTGAAACAAAGCTCTGGTTAGTCATCTCTACTTCCTCTCCAGCACACAGAGAAGGCACTCAATAAAGGCCTGCTGAGTCAGTAAGTGCAGCTGCAGATCTCAGAGTGCCAGCTGAGACAGGCAATTCCAGCTGTTGGTGGTAAAGTACTGGCTGAGTTACCAAAATGTGCTAAGCATCTGAGATGACCACAGCACTCAGCCCCAGCCCCTTGAAGCTTACCTTCACAGCGAAAAAATACATACACTATGATACAGTGATAGAGATGTGATCTGTGGCTATTCATTCCAATCAGACATACTACCCAGTGTCTATGGACCCTGGCCTACCCAAGCAGAGGCTTTATGAGAAATTAAGTCGAAGGAAACCTCTGGAATTAAAGGGGCAAGACTTCCCCAGGTTAGGTGGATATTTACGAAAATAAATTTCCTGAAGTCACTCTTCAGCGGCTCCATTCAGCCTCATTAACAAAGAGCAACCTCTCAAGTCCTCTGTGAGAACCCTTCACTCTTATACAATAGTAGCAGAAATGCCAAAAGGCCCAAGGCAGCAAGCACAGTATTTAAAGCCTTAGAGGTCAAACCTTGTCAGCTTATAACTCCACCAAAGAAAGCTAATTTTACTTTTTTTGGACAGGACAAATGATATTAAGGGAAATGATTCATAAGCATGTTAAATCTCATAACCTTCAGTTCCTGAAGTGCATGGCAATGAAACCACTCTCTTCACCATATCGTTACCCTGCAGATGCCACACCTCACACACCTTGCTGGACATCTTCAGGGTGTCGATCTCCTCCCTCTGTTTAGACAGTGTCTCGTTCATGCTGCACAGGTGGTCACTCATCATACTCAACTGATCCTCATAGCTCCTTTTGGTGGTTGTCAGCTCATCCTAAGCAGCAAAGGGAAAGAGAGAAAATCAAAATAAAGCCCCACTCATCCCATTCTGGAGCTTTTTAAATTTATTTAAGAACTCTGGAAAACCACACTGTCAAGATGGCCTAATCGATAAATTAACATGAAGGTTAAAGCATAGGCCTAAGGAGAATGACGTTAAAAGAAATGGGGGAATATTTTCTCTCAATTTTCAAAATGTGTGCTTAACTTCTTTGCAAAACTCTAAGGATTTCCTTCTATGACAGGTACAAAATTGTCAGAAAAACCAGAGAGCAAAACAATCTTTCCAAATCTGCTTGAAGGCCCCAGCCCTTGGGCGGCTCCCTCCCCAGAGGAGCACCCTTCCTCTCTCCTCCCACCTCTCACCTCTCCTCAGCCCGATCAGCTCTAACCCTGAGAGAAACCTGTCAGGAAGGAGGAGCAGCTGGGTGTTGCTGCATTCCAGTGTCTTCCTTTGCCTGGCATCATGTTTACACTAACAGGAACCCTCTGAAAAGCAAGGCTTTGAAACAAGGCAATGAGGAAGGAGGGTATTAAGAACAGCATAATATGTACAGAAAAGCCGACAGCCTACAGTGATGAGTATTTACAAACAAAAAGAAGAAGGACTTGTGGGTAAATAAGTACTATTTAAACAAACACTGACTATAAAAGAATTTAAAATTAGGGGGCCAGGGATTTAGCTCAGTGGTTCTGCTGCCTGCTTCACAAAGGAAAGGTCCCGAGTTTGATCCCCCATACCAAAAAAAAAACAAAAACAAAAAGAATTTAAAATTAAGATCAAGTCAGAGAAACAATCGTTTTTGCCTGATGTAATTAAGATGTTACTTAACGATAGAAATAAAGTGGTTAGGGGAAAGCATGTGTAGAGGTCAGATGCCACTACTCTGAGGGAAAGGCGGACTTTGCTACCCAGGAACTCTCCATGAAAACACATGACACCTGCATAGGAAACACATGTGCACTCACCTGAAGTCTGGTGATGTTCTGACTGGCAACTTTTATCTCCTCTGTCAGTGTCTCCTTAGACTTCTCAGCCAACACTAGTCTTTTAGAGAGTGCTCGGCACTGCAGAATCAGAAAACATTCCATTGTTAAGACAAACAAGTTAGAACAAAACCAAGTTTGCTTCGGGGAAGGTTACTAAAAAATAAACTCCAAAGCTAAAAGCCATTCATTCTTTCATTCATTCATTCCACAGATACCTATGCCATGCATGGGGTACACAGAAGAAAGATGTAGCCTTAACTTCTTTATTTTAGTAAAGGAAAAAAAGTCCACCAACTCAAGCTCATCAGTTTTTTCCTAGCTCTGGCCTAAGGACCAGTGGCTACAAAAAACATACGAACTTTTTACATTTATCCAGGATTAATTTATACTTATGGTGGAAGAAAAGGGAAGTGATTATTACTTCAAAATTAATCAATACCTTGTGATACTGGATTCTAAGATACCTTTCTTACGTTTTAAGACCTTCCTTGGAGACCACTGTCTATAGTCCCACAGTAAATAGGTTATGCTCTATCTACATGGGAAAAATGAGCAGGGCTGTAAGATCACAGCTGTCTTCTTTGGGAGTTCTAACAAACTAAGACCAGCCAGGGCTGGGGATTTAGCTCAATGGTTTCGTTGCCTGCTGTGCAAGCACAAGGACCTGAGTTCGATCCCTGGTACCACAAAAAAAAAAAAAACAAGACCAGCCAGAGACACAGCAGATGAAAAAGGAAAAAGAAAAATTCCATTTCACACTACTGTTCAAAGGATCACTAGACTTTCTGATAAGGCGCCAAGCTAACAAGGAGACTGTGAGACACATTTGAAGGCTGTGTCAATGTCAGATGCTCAGACTCATCATTCCAGTAAAGTCATACAGGGGCCACCAGTTCCTGTTTACAGATGGAAAAACTAGGACAAGCTAAAAATTCTTGTATCACAGTTGTATGGAAGACAATTCCTAAAATAGCCCTATGTCTGGGAAATAAAATGGTCTAAAAAATTCTCCAGTTACTTATTTTACTTCTCAAGGACAGTTCAGCCAGAGAGCCAATCAACCACCTCCTGTTAACCAAACCTCTGCTCTATGGTTAGCACCCAACCTGACAAAGATGGAGAGGGACATGCAAGGTGTGGTTCCTCACGAGGACGACACCATCTCATGCCAGGACACTAATTCAGAAAGCAGGCAGGGAGCCCAACAATGAGGACAGGCTTATCCGTTGCCCATCACGGCCTCCCGTCCTCCCCTGTGCACTCCAGCAGCTGTCACCACCACTCTGCTCAAGGAGCACAGGGTCAGTGGTTTCTGGCAAACCCACTGAGTTAGGCACCTTGTTTATTTTGGCAGAAAAAGGAGCAAAGCACCTTTCCACTTAACACAACTGACCTCCTGTCCTTACATAGAGCAACTGACCTATCAATGTCTCTCTCCATCTCTGCAGTGCAGGAGAAAATCAGAGGCAAAGTTAACGTCCAACAAAGAGTGCCATCTTTTCAAGTTATTTAAAATTTTTAAGCATTATAATTCTCTATCTGCCACTTACAATTGACCTTTTAATACAGTTTCAAATTGGAGACCATAAAGGTCTTCCTTGCTGAGCAGCATCCATTTATCTTACAACTTGTTTCTTGATCTCTTTTGTTGTTGTTAAAAATAAAAACAGATGATTTATTTGAAAGTGGGAAAAAGGGGAAGAAAGAGAGAAAGAGAGAGAGAGAGAGAGATACTCTAGACAAGTAGAGTATTTGAAAGAGAAATATTCATTTCTTGGTCTTTGATATCTGTTCTTTCTTCCTTCATTTTTCCCTTCTACTCTGTAAACTGTGCATGATTTTACTGATTATACTGCATAATGGTTTTCTAATTCTCAGGAGAAAAGTGATTATTTGGTGAAGGAAGAAAAAAGTAACAAAAGTAAGACTTTGTATCTTTTAAAGATTGAAAAGGTCACATTCTTCATCTTATTTATAGGAATTCATTTCTTATCATTGAAATCTTACTTATCATTGAAAAACTGAAGAGTATTTAAAAAGATCAGTGTCTCTAACTAAAGCACATAATCTCTAGTAATAATGCCCCAAAACATATATAATGCACCGGGTGTGGTGGAGCACACCTGCAATCCCAGCACTCGGAAGGCTGAGGCAGGAGGATCATTGTGAATTCAAGGCCAGCCTGGGCTCTATAGCGAGTTCATGGCCAGCCTGAACTACATAGTGAGGCCTTGTCTCAAAAGAAAGAAAAAATACTATACGTTATGTGACCACAGGAAAGGACACTCCAAGTCTCCCAAGAATTTTGCAGAAACTTGGAAATGACAAATGAGTCTTATGTTTATATTTATTGAAATGAAGACTGAAATGGCACACAGACTCATCAGTATGAACTGTAACCAAATATACAGACTCAAGGAGACATAAAACAAGACACTGGCTTCTCTCCTGTGAGCAGCAGGTCAGGACAGGGACCAGATTCCTGACCCCACCTGACGAGTCCCACTCACCTCGGCATAGAAGTGCACCGACTTACTGTCAGCCAGCTGCAGCTGTGATGTGAGCTCCACCACCCTGGCCATGTAGTGGTTTTTAATCAGGTCTTCACGGGATTCCGCATCCGGAACCTAAACAGAGCAAATACATATAAACAAACACTGCCAGGGAGATGACGAAATTCTATGCAAAAGAAAAAGACCTTATTTTGCACATGTGCGCTTGAAATTGGATGGGGAATCGAAGTTTGCCTACCCTTCAAAGAAACACCAGTCATGGCAGGTAAATAGACACTTCCAATTCTTTTATTCAGCATTCTGTCTCTCTCAGAAGGAAGCTGTGGCTTCAGAACCTATCAGCAGAGAGCAGAGCTGAAGTACTGGGAGGCTCACTCAGGCTTCGGCCCTCTATCCAACCTTGATCAGCCACAAACCTGATTTTCAAAATCTCCATCTGTCTGGCTCCTCTGTCCTCTTCTAATTGGAAGGGCTATTTATTGTAACTGCTAAATTTTGAACATTCCTTTTTTTCCTTAAATTATCTTAAGACAACTTTAATACTCTCAAGCATGCTAACAAATTTTTTCTACATCAGTTTTTGGTCTTTGTTCCAGACTTGTATTCCTCCTAATTACTCTGGCAATGAGACACTACTGAATTTAGTTTAAAAATACATGCACAGTCAAGTGCAGTGGAGCATGCCTGGAATCCAGGTACCCAGGAAGCTGAGGCAGGAGACTTTTTTATTTTTTGGTACCAGGGATTGAACTCAGGTCCTCGCGCTTGTGAGGCAGGCACCAGAACCACTGAGCTAAATCCCCGGCCCTAGGAGACTGTTTTTATTTATTCATTTATTTATTTTTGCTGTACCAGGGATCAAACTCAGGACCTTGGTCTTGTGAGGCAAGCCCAATGCCACTGAACTAAATCCCTGGACCCAGGAGGACTGTTTTTAAATTCAAGGCCAGTCTGGGCAACTTAGCAAGACTATATCTCAAAATAAAAATAAAAAGGGCTTGGAATGCAGTTCAGTGGTGGGGTGCCTCTGAGTTGAATATACATCACTGAAGGAAAAAAATACATGCAGAAGTTCAAGATTACCTATACTATAAGGTAAATGAGGAAATCAAAGTTTTTATCAATCTACTTGAACTATAATTATCAGTTTTCCATGCTGAATGGTAAACTGGATAACTTCAGCTTCTTTCAACAGTTCCTTGTAAAGTTCCATCTTAGAATATTTCAAAATCCAAACATGCAGATGTGTAACAAGCCAAATCTGACCTGCGCTCACTCATTCCAAGCTGCTGCTCATCAAGGCCCCCAGCTTCACATGCACACCAGCAAGAGGTGGCTGCACAGGGCCAAAACTGCCAGGGCAAGGCATGCAACAAGGCAATCACAAAAGCAGCCTATCATTTGTTGGTGACAGTTAAAATAGAACCACAGACAGAAGAAACACAAATCCATTGACAGAGGAGGAAAACACTGGCTCCACATTTGCTATAACTGTCAGGAAAAAAGTGGACAAAGACAGTTTCTACAGGACTTTGCCAACAAATACACTGCCAGGCATTTACTAACAGACAATGATGTTAAGTGTGCATTACCTCACTGTCAGATGTCCTGGTTAAAATCCCAATCTGGAACATAAGGAAAAAGAATCTTTAAAAAAGAATGTTTGCATTTCAAAACACAAACAGGTTGAACACTTGTAAAATTTTCACTTCTCAGTCCACACTGATTTACAGAGTACAGGGGATGCAAGATGGGAAGATCACTCCTATAATTCCAGCACTCAGGAGGCTGAGGCAGGAGGATCACTTTGAGTTCAAGGCCAGCCTGGACTACACAGTGAGACCCTGCCTCAAAAAACAAAACAAGACAAAACAAAAACAGTTATGACTACTGAATTCAGGTTATAGTTCAAGGTGAAAGGGGAAGTACAGTCACTTAAAACTATTGGAGAGTCTCTTCCAATGGACTTTGCTAACTAGAGATGACACTGATAGGCAGTTTCCATCTATTTTAAATAATATCCTCAAAGCATTATTCTGAGCAGTGAGCAGTGTACTAACTGACGTTACACTCACCTACTGTAAGAGTCTTTTATAATACTTGAAGAGCTTTAATTTTCTACTCAGTGAAGCAGGAGTAGCAATTATTCTTTCTTTCAGTTAAAAAGTGTATATGCCAAAGGGCTGGGTGTGGTGGTATGGGAGACTGGGCAGAAGGAGGCCAGCCTAGGCCATACAGTGAGTTCAAGCCCAGTTTGAATTATACAGTGAGACCCTGTCTCAAAAAAGAAAACAAAACAAACAAAAAACACTACAAATGTTTTATGAAAGAACAGAATCATCTTACATTTGACTTAATGTATCTTTTCCAGAAATGGAAAACATATCTTTTCTCATGTAAAATCACAGGGAATTTAATGGAGTTACAGGGAATTTACTGCAGCTGCTTTGGAAGGAAACAGCCTACTTACTAACCTGCTTTGTTTTTTTCTAGAGGCACATAGGTCATTACTGTTATAAACTAACATGTAATTTAGATGGCTGTTATGGTCTGAGCATCTGCTCCTCAAAATTCATATGTTAAGATACTAAGCCTTGGGCTGGGGATTTAGCTCAGTGGTTTCGCCGACTGCTGCGCAAGCGCAAGGACCTGAGTTCAATCCCTGGTACCAAAAAAAAAACCAACAACAAAAAAGATACTAAGCCCCAAGGTGATGGTATAGGAGGCTGGGGGCCCAGGGAGGTGACTTCATGAGATCAGAGCCCGTACAGAAGAGACCAGAGGACTCCTGCATCCCTGCCACCATATGAGTCCAGGAAACACCTTCACCAGACACCAAACTCTCCAGTACTTTAATCTTCAATTTCTTCTAGAACTGGGAGAAAATTTCCACTCTTGCAAGTCACCCAGTTCATGGTATTTTGTTGTAGCAATTGAAATAGATTGAGACAATGGCTTACATTGAACATTAGGTTAGATCCTTACCAGTGAGTATGCACAAAAGAAAACCATGGACAACCACAAAGACACTCACCAGACCAGTGCTCTGCACGGGCTCCAACGAGGCCTTTGCCATGGCTTCATCCTGGACAGCAGTGGTCACCACAACAGTACTTTCCTGGGCCAGCCCAGCCAGCTGCCCACTGCTGGTGCTCTTTAGCTTATCCACAATTCGCTGGTTTTCTTTCTCTAGCTTGATTTTGGCTAACTGTGCTTCCAACATCCAATGTTCTTTTTCCTGTTCCAATTTAGAAATCTTTTCCAAACTCTGTTGAACCTTGAAAAGTAATACAAAGTTATGCATCTTAGGGATGATACAGATGAGACTTAGCAGCTATGTTAGTCAGCTTTTCATCACTGTGACAAAATACCTAATGACAACTTAGAAGGAAGAAAGGCTTATGTTGGCTCATGGTGTCAGAGGTTTCAGTCCATGGTTGGTTGAGTTCACTGCTTTGGCCTGAGGTAAAGCAGAACATCATGACATAAAAGGATGGTTGTAGAAAGCTGTTCTCTTTATGGCAACCAGGAAGCACAGAAAGCAAGGGATAAAATATAGTTTTTAAAACCAGGTCCCATGACCCACACCCTTTAACGAGACCCCACCTTGTAATGGCCCATTCAGTTAGGAACTCATCAGTGATGAACCCTCAGGATCTGATCACTTCCCCAAAGCCAATGAAATGAACTGGCAAGCAACCCTTCAACACTATGAGCCTTTGGCAGGACACTTTAGATCCTAACAATAACAGTGGCCCGGGCTGGGGATTTAGTTCAGTGGTTCCACTGCCTGCCTCGCAAGCACAAGGTCCCGAGTTTGAGCCTCAGTACCAAAAAAAAAAAAAAAAAAGAACAGTCACCCAAAAATGCTTATAAAATGTAAACCAAAACTACCTTAAAATAAGAAACTGAAATAAAGTAAAATAAAACCTGTTTATCAAGGACTTCATTAGGAGAGTAAAAGAAAAGACAAGGAGTAGAAAAAGAATCTGTAAGGCATTCAACAGAGATATAATACCCAGAACATATAAAGAATTCTTGCAAGTCAGTAAGAAAAAGATGCCTAATAGAAAAACAGATAAAAATAACAAAAACACCAAACTAGGCACTGGAACAAGACTATAAACATAAGAAGAAAGTGCTCAATATCACTATCAGGCAGAGCAATTTCAACTGCCTATTTCATTATGTTCAAAAGACAAAATGCAAAGGGAGGTGTGTCTATGATACATGAACTTTTATTCCTACAGTGCTGAGTCAAATTAGGCGGGAAGGAGCATAAACAGTGTAACTGCATTTAACAAAAGGTTCATACCAGCCACTCTATGGCATGAAAACGCAGGAGAATGGGGTATGGTAGTATGGAAGGCTTCTTGAGCCTTTTCTGAAATACACCTTACATAGAGAAACACTCCCTTTCCTTTTTTTTTTTTTTAAAGCAGTTTGATTTCTCCTTTTATTTATTTATTTTTTTGGTACCGGGGATCGAACTCGGGTCCTTGAGCTTGTGCAGCAGACAGCAAAACCACTGAGCTAAATCCCCAGCCCCCTCCCTTTCCTTTTTAACGTCTAGGTTCTGGTTACATTTAATACTCACCTATGAAAATTCACTAGGATGTACATTAGTGATGTGCGTATTTTCTGTAAGTATGTTATGTTTTGTTTGTTTATTATGGTACTGAGGACTGAACTCCAGGCCTTTGCAGTGATCTATATTCCCAGCCCTTTTTTATTTATAGAGACAGGGTCTCACTAGGTTACTAAGTTGCTCAGGCTGGCCTCCAACTTGCGATCCTCCTGCCTCAACCTTCCAGACAGCTGGGATTATAGACATGCTCCACTATGTCCAGCTTGTTATATTTTAATAAAAAGTTAAAAACCCAAAATTCTCAGGGCAAATAAAAGCTTGAGAATTACATAAAAATAAGAGGACTCTTACAGAAAGTTCAAACACTTTACCAGCTATCATAGCTGAACAATTACTATGTACCAGGTACTGTTTGTGGCACTTTCTTCCAATTATCCCAGTGTGGCCTCCTAACAATTCTAGTTCTTATTTCTCAAAGAATAAAAGCTCCCAGCAGCTAGACCATTTGCTAAGCTAGAAAACACAGCTAGAATTTGGGACCCCATCTGCTTGGTCCACAAGTCCAGGTCTTCCTGCTGTGTCACACCGCCACCTACTAGCTCAGTGCATCCTCACATGCCTGAGAGGTCAGTGGCACAGCAGGCCAAGCCTCAGCTCTGAGGTCATGCAATTCTGTCATTTATTTGCTATTTTGCATACAATTCACTTAATTTCTTTTAACCTTACTTTTCTTATGTTAAAAACATTTTTTAGGGCCAGGGATTTAGCTCAGTGGTTCCACTGCCTGCCTCGAAAGTGCAAGGTCCCGAGTTCAATCCCCAGTACCAAAAAAAACAAAAAACAAAAAAACAAACCCACATTTTAAAAAATAATTTTTAAGGCATGTTTTATTGTGTCTGAGGAGTTTTTCAGGAATTACTATGTAGATGAAAGTTTTAGTCCCAACATTCTAGTGCATTAACACTGAAAAGATAAGTGATACATATCTAATGAGAATAAGGATAGAATTGACAGAATATTGCCTCAGGTAAATGCCCACACACACACCACCGCCACCAAGGATTGAACTTAGGACCTTGCACTTGCCAGCCAGGCACGGGGCCACTGAGCTACATCCCCACCCCATGAGAAAAATTTCTTTGTGTTCCCTGTAAGTATATCTAAAACTATAGGCAAGTCAGATGGTGAACTGAATAAATAAATCTGATAAAAGCTAAATTGATCTCGGTACCAACTTCTGAAAGAGATCGTACCTTCACCTTCATCTGCTACTCAAATTCAATTGACCAATTAATCATTGGAAATTTTCCACCCCTGCTCATTTAAGAAATGAAACCAAATGCTGATTCTCTAGCTCCTCCTTCCTTTGCTGTCTTACTATTTTGGATATTTAAATCTAGTGTCTAAAAAATCAGTCATCAGGGTTCAAATGTGTTAGTATTAATCTTGTGCCAACTGTAACATCAACTGAATCAAGACCAAGTACTTAGAGTACTGATATGTTTTTTGGTGATGCCTATGGTGCTTCTTAGTATGTACGGAACAACTAATTTTACATGTCAGTCACATGTCAATGACATGAGTCTTCTGAATCCCTCATCACTCTATGCATCTCAGCACACTTCCACAGGATTCAGCAGGTCTGCAGCTGCCAGTTCCCAGGACTCCCAGGGCCCTACCTGTTGTGCGAGCCCTTCCCGGCTTTCCGTAGAGCTGAGAAGGACCCGGCGGTCTGCCAGGGCTTCCTCATAAGGCACAGACTCTGGAAGGGGCTGTGGGAAAAGTAAGCAAGAATTCAGGAAAAAATACTTCACCCCTCACCCTTCTGACCCTACATAAAGAGACGACAATGCTGGACAGGTGTGGGGATAAATTCAGATATGTGCAGACAGACTATTTCCTTTAGTACTGTACTTGTGAAAAGATAGATGCATTTCTTTTGAAAAAAGAAAATAATGAAGGAGAACTTAGGCCAATTGTAAAAGCTACACTAAACAAAACTACATGCCCTCGCACCAAAATACAGATTTAAGAACAGAATAAAAACCCACAAACAGATAAGAGTATACATAAAAATCTATTATGTGACAAATACTACATTTCTAATTCAGTGGAGAAAGGATATTGGATAGATGGTGTAAAGACAATTGCCTGATCATTTAGAACAAGAACTATTTAGATCCTTCTTTTACATCTTATATCAGAATAAATTCTACATCAAAGATTTAATTCTAAAAATTAGATGGCAAAAATACTGGAATAAAATGCAGGTGAGTTTTTCCATGACCTTGGAAAGTGCTGTGGCAAAAAATGAGCACTATACAAGGAAAAACAACTTGCTGGATATTAAAATTATTCATTGTTGTTGTAGCTAAGGACTGAGACTTGGACTTTTGCATGTACTCCACAGAGCCCCAAATTCTTAACACACAGGAAGCTCTTTTGACCTTCATTAGGGATATTTATTTTACAATATGTAAAAGATGCTGGGCGGGGGGTGGTGCACGCATGTACGCCTAGCTACTCAGGGGGCCAAGGCAGCAGGGTTGGGAGCTGGAGGCCAGACTGGGAAACTCAACAAGACACTTGCAATTACAATTATTTTTTTTTCTGTACCAGGGATTGCACTCAGGACCTCACGCTTTCAGGGCAGGCGGTGGCACCACTGAGCCAAATCCCCGGCTGCAAACTCAATTTGAAGAACTGGGGGTGTAGCTCAGTGGTAGAGCCCTTGCCTGGCACAGGCTAAACCCTGGCTTCTACCACTAGTATCGCAAAAATAAATTAATTCATTGAAATAAAATAGGTAAAACACCTACCAGAGACAGAATACAAATGATAACTATGAAAGGACATTCAATCTCATTAATATGCAAAGATATACAAATAAAAATAACACTGAGAAGCCTTTCCTGAGAGATACAGATTAAATTTATATGTTAAGTTGATATGCCTATAAACTTAACTCATAAATGAGTAACCTTCCTGAAGTATAGGCTAGACAAATGTGACAAAATTTTAAATATTCACAAACACTGAGCTATCATTTGGTAGAATTAATTGTAAAGATATAATTAAAACAATTACACAAATAAAGGAAAATCTTGGCTGTAGCTATTAAAACTTAAAATGTAGCTAGACATGCCTGTAAACTCAGCTAATCAGGAGGCTGAGGCAGGAGGATGGCAAGCTTAAGGCCAATCTGGACTATAGCTAAGTGGCACAGTACTTGCCTATCGTGTACAAGGCCCTGGTTCAATCCCTAGCACTGCAAAAATGAAAACAAAATGTACAATGTGCAAACCACATGCCTCAAAACATTTTACTTCTCAGTATTTCACATATGCCAAAGGAGACATTTACAAGGCTATCCACTGCAGTTTTACTATAACAATAAAAAATGAGAATCAACCTTAATGTCCACCTATGAAAGGAAACCTAAGTGATTATGGACACTCATTTTATAAAATTCTATGCTGTACTCAAAAGGACACAACATGTGATGGCATAGATCACTACAACACTTTAAATGCAAAAAGGAAAACTATACAATGACTGAAACTTACATTAGGTTAAAAAAAAGAAAAGAGAATTTCATACATTGTTCATAAGTTTATATAGATTGATATAAGTGCTCAAAGAGTCTGGAAGCTTATATAGCAAACTGATAAATACGATTACCTCTAGATGGAAACTGGAACTAGGGATAATTTGCCTATAATATTCTAATCAAATGTAAGAATGTGTTTATGTATTTTATAATTAAAAATTTTAAAGAGAGCTAGGGACGTAGCTCAGGGGTAGAATGCTTGCCTAGCATACACAAGATCCTGGGTTTGATCCCTAACACTGGAAAAAAAATTAAAGAAATGAAGGGGAAAAAGTAAAATGAAAATACTCACTGCAGCACTACATGTAACAGTGAAAAACAGCCAACAACTAATATCTACCAGCAAAGGAATGGCCAAATTATTACATGTTGAGAGAATAAAATACTACAGAGGCATTAAAATGATGATAGTAATTTATATTGCAGATATATAGGATATATATGAACATATCCACAATGTGTTGAGAAAGATTCTAAAACAGCATATGAAGCTGAACACATTTTGCTTTTTACTGCGAATATATACACACCCACACATGAGTACCTGTACACATATTAAAACTTTTTAACATATAGATATACTCTAACAGCCGGGGATTTAGCTCAGTGGTTCTGGCGCCTGCCTTGCAAGCACAAGGTCCTGAGTTCGATACCTGGTACCAAAAAACAAAAAACAAAAAAAAACAAAGAGACTGAGATATATTCTAACAAATAGTAACTAACTACATTTAGGTGGTGGAATTTGGCATCATTATAATTTGCTTCTTAATGTGCTGCTGTATCTTCTAATTTTTTTTGCAATTACCATGTATGCTTAACTGTATTTAGAAAAAATTATAAAGATATTTAAATTTTTTATTTCTACAAGTTTAAGATTTGTTGAAGTTGAATATTTACTGCCTGTCAGCCTATGACAACCCAGGCACAGGGGACAGGAGCCACCAGGCCTGTGCTTACCAGCTAAGGTTTGGGTCTGCCACTTGCTCCTCACCAAAGACACCCCCAAAACTCACCGAACAACTTCACCTCCAAACTGGGTAAAATCTAAACAACAGGGACAGTGGAAAAGCTCTTGCCACGCTCTGAACAGTTCCTAAGTCTCTCTCCAGGGCATGCACTCCCAGCAGCTCACACACCTTTCTCAGGGCCTTCATGTAGGCAGCTGCTCTCTTCTTGTACTGCAGCATGCATGCCGCTGCCGGAGGGCTGGTGAACCTGCTGGCTGCTTGGGGCCCGTAGCTGAGCGAAGCAATGAAGCAGTCCACATTGTTGCTGAAGAAAGATGCCATCTAAACAACGTGGGACAAGAAGACAGATTCTTTTTTCCAACAGTAATCTAAAATTCTTATCTACAGCTTTCCGAGAAGTTTAAAAACACTTTGAGATGAAAATGAAATTTCAACACCTGCTCCAAAGCCCACATTTATTTATCTGAGAACACCTAGGCCAGTGATGGGAAACGTTTTAGAGCTTTCAAAGATAACAAACGGCCCACTGTGGCACACCGGCCATAAGTTAGCCACCACTGACCCAGGCAATGAAACATGATAAAAGGATAATATGGTGTAAACATTGAGAACTGACTTCTGCAAGGCATGGTGGTGTATGTCTGTAATCCTAGCACTCGGGAGGCTGAGACAGGAGGACTGCCCAAAGTTGGAGGCCAGCCTGGGCTACACAGTGAGTTCAAAGCCAGCCTGAATTACATAGCAAGACCCTATCTCAAAAAAATAAAAACTTTAAAAAAGAGAACTGGCTTCTGATATGTCCTAGTGTAGACAATGTCTTTGTGAAAACCAAAATTGAGTCTAATTTATTCTACAGGTGAATTTCATAAGCTGTTTACCTCATTAATTTCTACACTGATCTCAAAACATCCACATTTGGGATTATTTACTCCATTTGTATTTTAATACTGAACATTTTATATTCCAACAGAATTCATGAAATAAGCATCTTGACTGTATAATCCTCACCTAAATTTAATTCTGCAAATCTCAATTTGTGAATTATAAATAGAAAACTAAAAAGAGATTTAATATCTGTTAAATCTATATAAGCAGCCACAAAAAGATATATGACTATAATTTTGTGAGACATGATTTTGAATCTACAGTGCTATGTGAAATGGTGATATAAACAAAAATGTTTGGCTAAATGTCGTAGCCAGAAAAATAAATCTTCTATACATAAGCGGATTCTATCTTGATAAATATGAAAAAGTGATTTGTGAAACAGACTGTTCCACTTTAGCAAAAACTGCTCTAAAATTAAGCATTTAGTCACTGATAATTTGAAGGTTGTATTTTACATTAATGCTTCATTATGTTAAATAAAAGTCTATGTTAGATAGCATTTAATGAAAAGAGTATTCCAAAAATCTTGAGCTATATATTCCTGGTGAATAAAGATAGATACCTTTCTCTGAAACAACATTTTAAGGTTTCAGGCAAAGCAAAGCTAATAAAAGCATGAAATACACAGGTTTTAATATTTCATTGTTTTCTTAAAATGGAGGAAATGCAGAGGTTCATGTAAAACATCAACATTCTTTTTTCACAATTTTTTAATAGAATCAAAGTTACCCTGAGAAAGATTCTGGCATGCTGTAGGTGAAGGAGCTAAAAACGAGTCAGTAGGGATGAACCCTGTAATTCCAGCACTATGGGAAGCTGAGGCAAGGGAACTCAGTGAGACCCTGTCTCAAAATGAAAAACAGAGTCGCGCTGAAAACACCGCATCAGCCCGCTGCAGACAGGCAGGTCTGTGGACGTGGTCCCGAGGTCGCCAGTCCTGCGGAAAACACCAAATCAGCCCCCTGCAGACAGGCAGGTCTGGGGACCAGGTCCCGAGGTCGCGAGTCACGCGGAAAACACCGAATCAGCCCACTGCAGACAGGTCGGTCTGTGGACGTGGTTCCAAGGTCGCCAGTCATGCAGAAAACACTGAATCAGCCCATGCTCAGGCAGCAATCCACTGGACACCCCCACCCTGTTCCTTTGGCCTCTTCTCTGTACAGCCACCTGGTTCCACACTATAAAGATGCAGAGGACACTGGACCATCAGACTACGGTACTGGAGCTAATCAAGTTCTCAGCATTTAAAGAATTCCTACCCAGAGGTAGGGGCTTCTGAGCTGCCGTCCCACTGCTCCTGGTCCAGAGGAAGGGGCTGCCCGGCCACCATCCCTCCTGCCGCTCCCAGGCCAGAGGAAAGGGCTTTTGGGCTGCCTTCCGTCCAGCTGCTCCCGGCCCAGAGGTAGGGGCTTCTGAGCCACTGTCCCACTGCTCCTGGTCCAGAGGAAGGGGCTTCCAGGCAGCCAAACATCCCGCTGCTCCCGGCCCAGAGGAAGGGGCTTTCGGGAGCCCAAATAGCCTTGATCAAAAAAAATCTACACATAGGCATATAATTGTTAAGATTCCAGAAACTCAACAGAAGAACAAAGTTCTACAAGCAGTTA